TGATTCAGGGTCAGTCACTTCTGGTTGCCACGGACAACTCCACAGTAATGGCTGATCTTCAGAATCAAGAGGGAATTCATTCCTTTTCTCTGTATCTTCTGAGCAAGGAAATTCTTCTTCTGTGTCACAGTCTCGATATAATTCTGTCAGTGAGACATGTTCTAGGCAGTCAAAATCTTCTGGCAAATGCTTTTTTCCGTTCGCGTGTTCCAGTGAACACAGAATGGAAACTTCATCCATCAGTGTTTCAGGAGATCACTCTTCGTTGGGATCGTCCTCATATAGATCTTTTTGCCACTTTTTGCCACTAGTCTGAATCACAAGTTGGAGACTTACATTTCCCCCATTACAGACGAAAAGGTAGATGCTATGACCCTATCTTGGAAAGGAATGTTCAGTTACATGTTTCCCCCCTTTCGTCTTCTTCCCAAGATATTGCACAAAATTCAGAGGGATCTTTGCAAGACCATTTTTATTGCTCCAGCTTGGCCAAGACAGTCTTGGTTCCCAGAACTACTTCTTCTGTGTTGTGCAAAGCCGTGTCGACTTCCTCTAAGGGACGATCTACTTTCTCAGTTCAAGGGAAGAAAGATTCATCAGGGTCTAGAAAATCTCCATCTGCACGCTTGGTTACTGTCAGTCAGGCAATCTACAGGAGCCGTTTATGACTCCAAATGGTCAATTTTCTGTTCTTGGTGTCAGTCGAAACAGATTGATCCTCTCTCAGTTACTGTGCAACAGTAAGGGGATTTTTTCTTTTATCTTTTTGAAGAAAAAGGTTACACTCCGTCTACTATAAAGGGAAATAGATCTGCCATAGCCAGAGCTATATGTCTTTCAAGAGGCTCAGATTTTGGTGATAATGAGTTTTTGTCCTTGTTGATTAAAAACTTTTGCCTTAATAAACCTAGTCAAAGGCGTTTGGTTGCTTCTTGGGACTTAGGTTTAGTCTTGAAGGTTCTTCAGTTTCCGACTTTTGAAATCATGTCAGCTAGTTTTTGGAGGTCAGATAGTGCCTTTTATAACCACTATTTACGCTCTATGCCTCTTCATTGTGACAACCTCTATTCTTTATGACCTTTAGTTGCTGCTCAACAGGCTGTTTTTCCTCCTCCTAGTGAGGGGGATTCAGCGCTTCGTTAAATTCTGTTTATCTAAATTTATGAAGGTGTAGTATTTAAATTTTAATTCTAAAAATTTGATTTTCGTTTACAAGAAAGTCCACGTACAATTGTTTTTAAAGCAAAACTTAGGTATTCAAGTTATAAAACATTTATACCTTTTGTTTCAATTTGAAGTATCATATGACTTTATTCCACACAAGATCTACGATCATTATCGACTGCATGTAAGTAAAACCTGATTTAAACTTTATGTAAAAATTGGTTTTTATCAATGGGAACGTACATAGACACAACATGTAACAGCACGCCGAGTGTAGCGCAATGTGAACACGACTTTGATACCATTAACGGAGCCAATCTTTATGCACCAAATGAGCATTTCGACAATAAATGTCTTTTTGGTCTACCTGAGGCCAAAATATCTGATAATCCACAACTTAATAAAAAATAGAAAAAGTCGGACAAGGAATCACAGCTTTGCATGAGGGAGATATAAAACCTAAAAGGACAAAAAAAATAGAAAAAGTCGGTCAAGGAATCTCAGCTTTGCATGAGGGAGATATAAAACCTAAAAGGACAAAAACAATAGAAAAAGTCGGGCAAGGAATCACAGCTTTGCATGAGGGAGATATAAAACCTAAAAGGACAAAAACAATAGAAAAAGTCGGGCAAGGAATCACAGCTTTGCATGAGGGAGATATAAAACCTAAAAGGACAAAAACAATAGAAAAAGTCAGGCAAGGAATCACAGCTTTACATCAGGCAGATATATTCCCCAATTTGAAATAATTCCCAAAATTTTGTAACAGCAAATTTTAATTGACTATGGCATTGTTCCATATATTAAACAAGGGTAATACAATAATTAAATATATACATACAAAACAATACAACGTTGAGTATGACGAAAGGAATACAAACATGCAGTCAATGAATGAAATGTTCTTGAGCAATGATATATATTTATTTTAAACAGTTACAATATAAAGTGTTAATAACCCTATAATATTTTTAGGAATTGAATACCAAGTAAATGGGAATATGTTTATACTTTCGGAGACTGACACTTAAAAAGAAAATGTTAATCAGTATTAATATCAATATGACAGAAATGGCATATTCTTTCTTCTTTTGGTTTGTTTCTCTATCGTCCCGTTTCTATAGGCATTTTCAAATTACAACACATTAGTTTTGTTTATAACTCGTTTTCTTTGAAATAATTTAAGAAGATAATTTTCTAAATTAAATCATAATTAAACTTGACCATAAAATTTTCCACTTCATGAATTTTCTATTTGATCATAAAATTGTGGATAAATTGATTTACGAGTATTTGTTTTAAAATGACTTTTGATTAACAATTCCACATATTTTGTTAAAAATAAACCCGAGAATAAAATATGCTACACCGCACAACAAACTATCAGTAAGTTGAAGTTTCTTATTGCCAACATATTTGTTGAATTTGGAGGTACCAAGTGTGTGGCTCTCCTTGTCGACCTTTTCATGATGTTCTCTCTATTACCAATCGATTTTTTTTCTGATTGATTCCCATTAATATATCCTCCTAAACTAGTGATTATAACAACAAAATGATTACACATATACCTCGAATCTGACTCAAGCGGTCATCTTTGTAACAGAGTCTATGACAAACGAGACGATTTCAATTTTGAAATCATCAATTTTCCTCAACTTAGCAGCAATATACCAACTTCATCTGTGTATGAAGTATATATTTCTCAACTCATACGATATTCAAGAGCTTGCAAATGCCATTCAGACTTTGTAAAACGTCATCGGTGTCTGCGCAAAAGGGTTTTGTCAAAGATCGTCTTGTCTTTTTTCTCAGAAAGGAAGGTTCATATACTAAATAGATAAATATTGGGTGTCAACTTCACAAATAATACAGGATGGTCTTGAGTTATAGATTCTAGATGCTGACGTTGTGTATTATTTCATAAATTTTACAGCGTTTCCTTTATTTTTGTTTATAATATTATGTTACTTTTGGTCGTATGACTCTACACGTGACTTGGTATATGTGCATCTAAATTTCTGGTATTTGGCGTTAGGCGTTCCTGATACAGGTGGCTCCAGAGGTGCGATTTGAACGCATGACGTTTTTATATTGTTATTTTTATTTTGTGTACCCTTGTTTTTATATTTGACTTAATATGTACTTTATCAGAAAAAGAGTATATGTCATTATGTCTTACTATACTCTAGTGTGTTTTTATATGTTGTGATGTTACACTATTGTTTCAGATAAGGGTGAAGGTTTGGAACCATTAAAACGTTTAAACCCGCTGCAATTGTTTGCACCTGTCCTAAGTCAAGAATCTGATGTTCAGAAGTTGTCGTTTGTTGATGTGGTTCATAAGTGTTTCTCGTTTCTCGTTTTTTATATAGATTAGACCGTTGGTTTTCCCGTTTGAATGGTTTTACACTAGTAATTTTTGGGGCCCTTTATAGCTTGCTGTTCGGTGTGAGCAGCCAAGGCTCCGTGTTGAAGACCGTACTTTGACCTATAATGGTTTACTTTTATAAATTTTGACTTGGATGGAGAGTTGTCTCATTGGCACTAATACCACATCTTCTTATATCTATCTACAAGCAACTACAAAAACTTATTTTGTTGGCGTCCATGATAGATTTCTTTTACGTTTGTTCGGATTGTTTACACAATTTTGGCTGCTGGATTCCGATTATTGTCACGTTAACCAATTATATCTGTTTTGGGTTGCTCTTGCAATTTTTTCAAAAAGGCATAGTTATAAACAACTGTCATACAAGTGGAAGGTTCGGCTAGCTTTAAAACGTAGACAATTTAACTCATTTGCAGATCTTGTCTAAATGATCATTTTTGGCTATTAAGTTTCTCTCTATCTGATTCAGTTGATAAGTGATGACAATAGCTCGCACTTGCCTTTCAAGCCAAGTGAGCTAAATAAGCCAGATAGGAAAAAAGAAGAAAACATATGTGCGTGCGTGTGTGTTGATCACCACATTCAGATCATTCAGTCACACGACTATACAAGGAAACTTTTTTTTATATATATGTCAATAATCTTTCTTTCAATCTCTTCATCTATTTAATAATAATAATAATAATAATAATAATAACAATAATAATTAAAAACCAATTGTTCAAAGACCAATTGAAGGTCTTTCCACATCAATTTTTAAATAATTGATGAGAAGATAATTCTGGTTTACTCAAAGCTACTATTGGCGTCCAATCATAGGTTTCTTCATACTGATTCAATAAACATGGTTTCTATAGACTTTTTCCTGAAATAAGGGAGATAATTGTCAACATCCGGTTTAGAAAATGTCACTTTCGGTCTCATGTGATAGCTTTATTTACACTGATTCCAAAAATATATGGTTTATATATACCTTTGCCTGTAAAAAGGGAGATAATTGGCTACTTCCGGTTTAGAAAATGTCACTTCCGGTCTCATATGATAGATTTATTCACACTGATTCCAAAAATATATGGTTTATATATACTTTTGCCTGTAAAAAGGGAGATAATATGCTACTTCCGGTTTATAAAATATCACTTCCGGTCTCAAATGATAGATTAATGTATGACCATTCAAAAAATATATGGTTTCTATTTACTTCTACATGAAATAAGTGCAAAAATGACTACTTCCGGTTCACTCAAGGCCACTTCCGGTTGACATTTTTCAAGGTCATATGTCACCCAACATTTTGCAAAAGATCTTATGGCTTTATCATGTACCAATATGAAGTAATAATCAATTTACCTTAAAATAAAACATTTCAGGGGCAATAACTCCAATAAGATGTCGCTGGATTGTCTCAGACCAAATGTATCATATCTTCATCACAATATAACAAACATTTTGCACTTGTTCTTTAATATATAACATTAAAAATATCGGAGAAAATGCAAAAACAAGCAAAAGACAAAATTCAGAACATGACCTTGACCTTTGACCTTGACCTCATTTTCGAAGATAGGATCCAAGGACCTTAAATAAAAAGACTATAGGTTTATACGGCTTACAGTTTATGAGTAACAAAAACATAACGACAAATTTATTTGATAAAGGTAGATAACTCCTATAAAATTTCATCGAATCGCTTCGATCCAAATTAGCCAAAAATTCCTGAGGATGTAACGAACAATTTGTAAAAAGAATTTTGTCGATATCTTTTTTTGTTACGAAGGAGATGCACACAGATGATAAACAGTGAATAGGGAGATAACTCTTACAAAGAAAATGGTTCGGCTTAGCAGGGTGAAATTTAAAAGCGCATAAACTATACGATACAATATGAGAAATATCTAAGCGACATATTGCGAAACAAACATTTATCGCAAGAACAAAATTTGGCGGAAGAAAAAAAAAAATAATAATAAATATAAATCAATTGTTTTAAAAACAATTGTTAAACGGTCTTTCCCCTCCGAAACATGATTGGTTGGTTGGTCGATTGATTGATTGATTGATTGATTGATTGATTGATTGATTGATTGATTGATTGATTGATTGATTGAAAGTTTGCATGACACTCTCTCTATGCGAGGCATCGGACTTGACGTTCATATTCTGACGAGGCTGCGTACTTGTATATCCAGCACTCCCAAACGGACAGCTTCGGGATTTCCTAATAAATAAAAATCCTAACATCTTCTTTTTTTTCTAATTTTCTCTATTTGCTACGAGAACTGATACTTCATGGTTTCTTTTATGTGTTGTGTGTACATTTTGTTTCAACTTGTAGGAAGAAAAAAAATGAGTAACATTTTGTCTTTGAAGTTTCACTTTCCATATTTGGATATGGATCTCGAATGTTTTATTCTAATTTTAGGTCCGCGCGCGTGATTAAGTTTTGAAGTCACGTGACGCTCGAATATATATGTCTGGAGTTAGAATATTAATTTCTTTTCAGGGGAGACCGTTGAACAGAGCACATGTGTATTGATCGGAGAAACACCATCACTATTGGTTTTATTATTTACAGGTCATTGATAACGGATCATGCATGCATCTTACGCACACATGTTTACGGGAGCACAGATTTGTATTTTAATGCATGATTAAAACATTTGATTGTAGGAGATTTTAGCAATATTTACGATTTTTCTACGTCATTGAATTTTATTTCTCAATCAAGCGGACCGCGTCTAACGGGAACATGAATTGGAGCCGATTTTTGCAGGAATGAATTTCTATTTAAGAAGTTTGTACATCAGAAGGATTGCATTTTTACAGTCAAATGTACAGGACTGAACTTCAAGGCGAAACGGGATTCCTCAAAGTAGAAGGAAAAAAAAAAAAAAAAAGAGAGGGAGGGGAGGGGGGAGGGAAGTGGAGGATGGTGGACCTTGGTTGATAAATTAAGATAAGATGCATGTATACATCATGATAGTTGCAAAGTTTGAGGCTATAATTAGTTCATTTTGTTCATTTTACTATTTCAGTGGCATGGAACCCCTAAAACAATGACGCGTACCATTTTGACAAAAACTTTCCAGTTATATCATGTCGCGACTAACATTTTGGTCAAATTTTTTTTATACGGCTTACGGTTTACGTGTTACAAAAACATAACGACAAATTAATTTGGTAAAGGCAGATAACTCCTTTAAGATCTCACTGGATCGCTTCGATCCAAATTAGCCAAAAATTCCTGAGGATGTAACAAACAATTTAGAAAAAGAATTTTGTCAATATCTTTTTTTGTTACGAAGGATATGCACACACATGATAAACAGTGAATAGGGAGATAACTCTTGCAAAGAAAATGGTTCGGCTTAGCAGGGTGAAATTTAAAAGCGCATAAACTATACGATACAATATGAGAAATATCTAAGCGACATATTGCGAAACAAACATTTAACGCAAGAACAAAATTTGGCGGAAGAAAAAAAAAATAATAATAATAATAAAAAACCAATTGTTCAAAGAACAATTGAAGGTCTTTCCACATCAATTTTCTAAATAATTGATGAAAAGCTAATTCTGGTTTACTCAAAGCTACAATTGGCGTCCAGTCATTGGTTTCTTCATACTGATTCAATAAACATATGGTTTCTAGACTATTGCCTGAAATAAGGGAGATAATTGTCAACTTCCGGTTTAGAAAATGTCACTTCCGGTCTCATATGATAGCTTTATTTACACTGATTCCAAAAAATATATGGTTTATATATACTTATGCCTGTAAAAAGGGAGATAATTGGCTACTTCCGGTTTGGAAAATGTCACTTCAGGTCTCATATGATAGCTTTATTTACACTGATTCCAAAAACATATGGTTTATATATACGTTTGCCTGTAAAAAGGGAGATAATATGCTACTTCCGGTTTTTAAAATATCACTCCCGGTCTCAAATGATAGATTAATGTATGACCATTCAAAAAATATAAGGTTTCTATGTACTTCTACATGAAATAAATGCAAACATGACTACTTCCGGTTCACTCCAGGTCACTTCCGGTTGACATTTTTCAAGGTCATATATCACCCAACATTTTGCAAAAGATCTTATGGCTTTATCATTAACCAATATGAAGTAATAATCCATTTACCTTAGAATAAAACATTTCAGGGGCAATAACTCCAATAAGATGTCGCTGGATTGTCTCAGACCAAATGTATCATATCTTCATCACAATATAACAAACATTTTGCACTTGTTCTTTCATATATAACATTAACAATATCGGAGAAAATGCAAAAACAAGCAAAAGACAAAATTCAGAACATGACCTTGACCTTTGACCTTGACCTCATTTTCGAAGTTAGGATCCAAGGACCTTAAATAAAAAGACTATAGGTTTATACGGCTTACAGTTTATGAGTAACAAAAACATAACGACAAATTTATTTGATGAAGGTAGATAACTCCTATAAAAATTCATCGAATCGCTTCGATCCAAATTAGCCAAAAATTCCTGAGGATGTAACGAACAATTTAGAAAAAAGAATTTTGTCGATATTTTTTTTTGTTACGAAGGAGATGCACACACTTGATAAACAGTGAATAGGGAGATAACTCTTACAAAGATAATTGTTTGGCTTAGCAGGGTGAAATTCAAAAGCGCATAAACTATACGATACAATATGAGAAATATCTAAGCGACATATTGCGAAACAAAAATTTCAAATGTTGGCGGAAAAAAAAAAATAATAATAATAATAATAATCAGAACAAATACAATAGGTCTTTCCACAGAAAAGTGGAAAGACCTAATAATAATAATAATAATTAAAAACCAATTGTTCAAAGAACAATTGAAGGTCTTTCCACATCAATTTTCTAAATAATTGATGAGAAGCTAATTCTGGTTTACTCAAAGCTACTATTGGCGTCCAATCATAGGTTTCTTCATACTGATTCAATAAACATATGGTTTCTTTAGACTTTTGCCTGAAATAAGGGAGATAATTGTCAACTTCCGGTTTAGAAAATGTCACTTCTGGTCTCATATAATAGCTTTATTCACACTGATTCCAAAAATATATGGTTTATATATACTTTTGCCTGAAAAAAGGCAGATAATTGGCTACTTCCGGTTTAAAAAATGTCACTTCCGGTCTCAAATGATAGATTTGTTTACTCTGATTCCAAAAATATATGGTTTATATATACTTTTGCTTGTAAAAAGGGAGATAATTGGCTACTTCCGGTTTAGAAAATGTCACTTCTGGTCTCATATGATAGCTTTATTTACACTGATTCCAAAAATATATGGTTTATATATACTTTTGCCTGTAAAAAAGCAGATAATTGGCTACTTCCGGTTTAAAAAATGTCACTTCCGGTCTCAAATGATAGATTTATTTACTCTGATTCCAAATATATATGGTTTATATATACTTTTGCCTGTAAAAAGGGAGATAATTGGCTACTTCCGGTTTAGAAATGTCACTTTCGGTCTCATATGATAGCTTAATTTACACTGATTCCAAAAATATATGGTTTATATATACTTATGCCTGTAATAAGGGAGATAATATGCTATTTCCGGTTTATAAAATATCACTTCCGGTCTCAAATGATAGATTAATGTATGACCATTCAAAAAATATATGGTTTCTATGTACTTCTACATGAAATAAGTGCAAAAATGACTACTTCCGGTTCACTCAAGGTCACTTCCGGTTGACATTTTTCAAGGTCATATGTCACCCAACATTTTGCAAAAGATCTTATGGCTTTATCATGTTCCAATATGAAGTAATAATCAATTTACCTTAAAATAAAACATTTCAGGGGCAATAACTCCAATAAGATGTCGCTGGATTGTCTCAGACCAAATGTATCATATCTTCATCACAATATAACAAACATTTTGCACTTGTTCTTTAATATATAACATTAAAAATATCGGAGAAAATGCAAAAACAAGCAAAAGACAAAATTCAGAACATGACCTTGACTTTGACCTTGACCTCATTTTCGAAGTAAGGATCCAAGGACCTCAAATAAAAAGACTATAGGTTTATACGGCTGTCAGTTTATGAGTAACAAAAACATAACGACAAATTTATTTCATAAAGGTAGATAACTCCTATAAAATTTCATCGAATCGCTTCGATCCAAATTAGCCAAAAATTCCTGAGGATGTAACGAACAATTTAGAAAAAGAATTTTGTTCATATCTTTTTTTGTTACAAAGGAGATGCACACACTTGATAAACAGTGAATAGGGAGATAACTCTTACAAAGATAATTGTCCGGCTTAGCAGGGTGAAATTTAAAAGCGCATAAACTATACGATACAATATGAGAAATATCTAAGCGACATATTGCGAAACAAATATTTATCGCAAGAACAAAATTTGGCGGAAGAAAAAAAAAAAAAAATAATAATAATAATAATAATAATAATCAGAACAAAAACAATAGGTCTTTCCACAGAAAAGTGGAAAGACCTAATAATAATAATAATAATAATAATAATAATAATAAAAATGACTTTATTTAAATAGGGTGACTCAATTAGCATTCACTAATCTACCTTGAGGCCATAAAAAAAAACATACAGAACAAGTATTACAAATATTACAATTTTTGAACATACCATTAAACTTTCACGCAAAATGATACATTATACACAAACATTAAAAAGACATGATAGAGTTAGAGAGTTGTTACATATCATTTATAGTTAAAAAAAATCTACACATTTTCTTTTAAAAGTACCAAAATGTTCACATAGTTTTATTTCATTTGGTAGTTTATTCCAAAGTATTGAGGAGCTTTTTTTCATTTGTTATAATTTCTATGTCCAACATTAGGTCATTTGTTAACCAGTTTAGACGAGTTTTAAGAATATGAGTTGAACTTGTAAATAAAAGCACATTCAACGTAAACATGATAATAATCTTAACGGGAAACCCACTGCGACAAAAAAGATCTAATACGGTTATCACTGGAAAGAGGTCATAATTGAGGAATGTAGCTGAATATTTCATTGAGTTTTCTGGGTCTGAAGGCACGTCTGCTGGGCGCCAATTTATTTTCTTCAACAGAACACTTTTTATATTCTTTTGAGAAAAGATTCTGTTGTATGCGCATATATGTCTAATTCATTTCATAGCCTAATATATGATGGGAAAATGAGTCATCAATTCTCAAAAAGGTACCATAATGTCTTCACTATATCTTATATATAGTAGTACTTTGTTTTGTTCTTGTTATTGCCATATTATATAGATACTTTTATATTGTGGTTTTTGTTAAAGGTAGTATGTTGAAATCTGGATATTTTTGTGTCGTTTAGTTGCTAATGAGGTACTAGTACAAGACTTTTCATCTCCTTTATGTTTATGTATTAACCACTGATATATCAATCGTACTTAAATGGTATTTTGGAGAGTTTGGAGATTAAGAAAGTATTTAGAATAGATAGTTAAAAAAAAACCTGTAACTTTTAATGAGTGGGTTTGCTGTGTATTTTGATTTACATTCATTTCTATTCTCCAAAGTGTCAATTTTCCATAGTGTCAATTCTCTATAGTGTCAATTCTCCATATTGTCAATTCTTCATAGTGTCAACTCTTCATAGTGTGTCAATTCTCCATACAGTGTCAATTTTCCATAGAGTGTCTATTTCCATAGAGTGTCAATTCTCCAGTGTCTATTCTCCATAGAGTGTCAATTCTCCATAGTGTCAATTATCCATAGAGTGTCAATTCTCCATAGATTGCCAAATCTCTGAAGTGTCAATTCTCCATAAAGTGTCAATTCTCCATAGTTTCAATTCTCCATAGTGTCGATTCTCTATAGTGTCATTTCTCCATAGTGTCAATTCTCCATAGAGTGTCAATTCTCCATAGTGTCAATTTTGTAAAATGTGTCAGTTCTCCAAAGTGTCAATTAGTAGTAAATGTACATTAGTTTCACAAGTATTCGGATCTTGTGGTTAATACAAATAAATATCAAATCCTTCTGCCATATAAGTGGTTAAGCAATGGCGATTAGTCAGATGTTTCTGTAGACAGAATTATTGATTCATTATCAGCAAGTATCAGTATGTTAAAATATGATCATTTGTATTAATTTGAATAATTCATGAGCATTTACTGTCTCTGTTAAAATACATTAAAGATATTTTAAATCGAAAATGAAATAAGTCTTAGTAACTTATTATCGTATAAATCATTTTGCGTTGGAATTTCGTTTAGCCTATGCGTGATCATGTGTTATAAAATAAGTGCTACCCGTTATCATTACCAAATAGTTTACATACGTAAGTACTCGTTGTAAAAATTAATAGTACATGAAAATAAAACTTTCCAGTCAGGTTATCTTCAAATCATTAATCATTATCCAATCAGATCAAAAATAAAAGATTATTGACAGAAGTGGGCAGTAATTGACAAAACGCGAAAAAAACGAGAATTGACAACAGCGAGAAAAAGCAAAAAACACGAAAACGCGCTGTCGAAAACGCGAAAACGAGAAGTGAAACTATTTTTCGTTTTCGCGTTTTCGCCCTATTGAATATGAAAGGCGAATTAGCCTTATCCAGCCACCACAGTAATTCGACAAGATTTTCTGGATCAAATTTATTCTAGAACATTTGAAATCACAGCTTTGAAAGCCGAACATGTAAAAGGAATTACATGATCGAACATGAATAATTTGAATCGTGTATTTACCAATGAAGCCGGTAGTTGATTTTACATAATTCAATCTGTTATTTTGTAATTATTTAAATTTGAAACACGTGGCTTTTACATTAAAATCTAGTAGATTTATTTTTTGGTGAATCTATATATCAATATCTGGAATAATATTTCTATCGTCATGTGTTTGTTGACCTGGCTCCGATTAAGATACCTTGTCAATTTTTAGAGACACGTGAAAATGATAACACATTTATATTTACTGTGTAGTTTTGTCAGTGTAGTTTTAACTGAGGAATTTACCATTACAATATTTAACTACGCAACGGCAAATATGGTTGTAAAAGTTAACAGCACGTTTTTAATTCTAAACACAGCATCTAAAATTCAATGTGCTGAAAAATATATATCAAACAGTAAGTGTTGGAGTGTAAGTTACAGTTCTAATGGAGAGTGTAGACTTTGTGACAGAGTATCGAATTCGCTTTGTACGATTTGTGAAGAGGAAATCGGCGCAGTTTTATACTCTAAGGTAACAATGGTTTGTCTGATTTGTATTCTAAACTAATATTTAAACTGATATTAAAATTGAGATGTCTGTAGGCTTTTCAAATATACACTATCCGATATCTGCAGGCTTTTAAAATATAAACTATGCGATATCTGCAGGCTTATCAAATATAAACTATCCGATATCTGCTGGCTTTTAAAATATTAACTATGCGATATCTGCAGGCTTATCAA